TATGTGGTGGGAGGTGACGTGTATAGTACGCCCCATCCTCTACTGCTCCCTCCCTGTCTTTGTCTGTCCGAGGGATCAGAGTATCGGAGGGATCAGAGTATCGGAGGGATCAGAGTATCGGAGGGATCAGAGTATCGGAGGGATCAGAGTATCGGAGGGTGGATCAGAGGATCGGAGGGATCAGAGTATCGGAGGGATCAGAGTATCGGAGGGATCAGAGTATCGGAGGGATCACAGTATCGGATGTGACCGCAGTCTTCTGTCTCCCGCAGTATCACCGAGATGTTACGCATGACGGCCGTGCGGTCCTTGGGCGGTCCTCTTCTCTATGAACTGATTGAGGTGAGTCTTCTGTCCTATCGGGGCAGATCTGGGGAGTCTAATGTCCTATCGGGGCAGATCTGGGGAGTCTAATGTCCTATCGGGGCAGATCTGGGGAGTCTAATGTCCTATCGGGGCAGATCTGGGGAGTCTAATGTCCTATCGGGGCAGATCTGGGGAGTCTAATGTCCTATCGGGGCAGATCTGGGGAGTCTAATGTCCTATCGGGGCAGATCTGGGGAGTCTAATGTCCTATCGGGGCAGATCTGGGGAGTCTAATGTCCTATCGGGGCAGAACTTACAATGTCTCTTTTGTGTTATCATAGAAAGGGAAGGAGATGCTGACATCCAGTAATATTCCTCGTGGTCACTGTGTTATCTGCCTATATGGCTTTCAGGTAATTGCGCAATCTCTGACCCTTCCCCGCTGTGATGTGTCTCTCGTGATGTGTCCCGTGATGTGTCCCGTGATGTGTCCCGTGATGTGTCCCGTGATGTGTCCCGTGATGTGTCCCGTGATGTGTTCTGTGTAACTCTCATGTATCTCACAGGAAGGTGATTCCCTTACCAAGACGCCGTGTTTTCATCACTTTCACTCTCACTGCCTGGGACGGTATACTAAGCACTGCCTGGAGCAGAAACCAGAAGAGGTACCGCAATCTCTCCTCTAGAGAACGCCGCATGAGTCTCTGCTGCCTCCTCTCTCCCTGTATTATCTAGAACCCTCT